ATCAAAAAAAAAGTCTAGAATTATGATTTTGAAATTATTTGGAGCCCCAATATATAAAAATTACCTCTTATATAAATTCTCCTATGCAAGGTCATGAGGTTTGTCGTTTTATTTGTAAACGTCATTCTGTTCCCACCACCGCTACCAGAATGGAACAAATCAAACGCAACTATTAGCTCCTTCCCTGACTAACTCAATGACTCCTCCCAACTCTGAGTTCGGAAGGAGTGTGCATAGGCATTCGTAAACAAACTCCAGTGAATAGTGAATCGATAGAGTTGGAAAAGACCGGTCAGAAACTTAGTGCGCGAATCTTGTTTTTGTTCCTTCTTCAAACACAAAATATCTACAAAATGGCAGTCAGTCGACTCTCAATCGTGAAATTTCTTGAATTGGTAAGTGACTAGGAAGTACGGATGGAAAAATGATTGGTATTTGATGAGACTATTCATCAAAAAACAGAGATGTATGTGTGATTTCACATATATGCAAGTCATTGAGCATAACAATCATATCGTAATAATGTTAACATATCGACATCAAATAATGTATAAGAGATATTTTGATGAGCTTTCAGTTGTTAATAGGGATGCAAAATAAGGATCAATAAATATATTGGTAGGTCATTCCACAATTGCGTTGTAATTGTAACGCAATACATTCTGATCGATATATATTATGTTGTGCCCAAAATAGTGATTCATTCCTCCGCATTTCACATACAGGGTGATGTGATTCATCAACTTCCTTCAAATCTGAAGTAGGTATAATCAATACCTATATACAAAATGAAAATTCAAGTCAATTGTTAATTATTTCGAAATGGAAAATATTTTTGGAACCTTGCTGAACATTTTTCTTTTCAATATTTGAATCCCTCTCGAAATTACCTGTACAGCGAGGATTGAACACCCTGTATTCCACGTCATAAAGAGTTCTAAATATCAAATTTTGAAAAATCGTAGACAGTTACACAGGGTGAACAGAGCTTTACTGGTCTTGAATGTGAGAGTCGATCGATTAAATGGAAATATTCCATGGGTATTATTATGATTCCTCATGGAGACATTATATTTCAATATACCGGGTGTTTCTCAAAAGGGGCTCACTCATATAAGTTTGTTGGTTCTATAAATGAACGAATGAAATTTGGTGTGTGAGTATAGTAAATGAATATGCATTATTTGACGTACTCAATTGTTTTTTTGTCAATATCGATTGTGTGGTATACGTGTTCGTAACAAAATACCCTCGAAAATACCGTTTCCCCTCGCGTTTTCCTATATGGTAATGGAAAAAATTGAGTTAATATCATAATTACGATATTGTGAATTTTGAATGAACCTGTGAAACAATTGAAAAGTTAAGATTCATCGAAATTATTTTTCCTATGCAACATGATTCAAAATCAACTGTTTCAACTCATTCAAGGCACTCTAGATTGAAAATTGAAAAATGAAAATGTCATGACGATAAATGTCAATAAGTGGCAAATGGGTTGTCATTGTACTCAGAATGTTATTCTCTACAGAAATATGTAAAAATATAGAGGGTGTCCCATTTAAAATTCGATAATATGGGTCACTTTTGGTCAAACCGGCAGTGACAGAAAACAATTGAATATATACACCAAATTGAGCATATTAATGTACTTTACTTACACACGGAATTTCATTTGTTTATCTGTATAAACTAAAAATGTATAGGGGTGAGCCACTTTTGAGAAACACCCGGTATATAGCTATAGAGTGTTTTGCAAAGTTTTCGGTTTTTCATCTCCATCGAAAGAAAGCTTTTCTTTTTTCAGGCATCATTTCCAAACTAGAATAACTTGTTAATATGGATATCATCAATATTTAGTATCAGTCAAGGTGAAATTACTATACTGGGTATTATTTTGAAGCCATTGAATTTCTCTGATTTTTTTCATTGGGATTCCAGTTATATACCACTGGTAAATTATGACAGAGTTGATTTTCATCAAAATGGAAGTGTTTTATATTCCAATTTGCTCAAAAAAGAATTCCTTTCATAGAATCATGAAAATTCCAAATTGTTTATATCTTCTGAAATAATTGAAATTTAGAAGTAAATCGGTATATAAATATATAGGTACCTAATCTTCATAGGATATTGGTCATCTTAATTATCATTATGTCTTTCATTGTGGTTGATATGTTGTGGAATTTCAATTTATCGTGAAAAGAATGCATGCATCATCAGTCAATAGGTCGATACAACTTGCCTTTGTTTGTTTTAGTTCATTTATTTTTTGGAATGTGAATATTATGATACCACTATATCTTCGATGAGGTCATACCTATTCTAGGACTATTCATCACTGCACTTGACTCATTATGTATTTTATTCAATGTTTAATGGATTGATTAGATTAGTGTCTGAATGCAAGACGTTAATTCATTTCCGTTTTTCATTGCTCATAACTGCTTGAAACATTATTTTGCACTTTGAAACACAATTTACAATTAAATACTGTGCCCGTCTGAACTGCGTTCCCTACTAATTTTTGAACCACCAAGTATATAGGGTGTATCTAAATAACACCGAGATAGGGACATGTGAGCCATATTGGCCGATAATGAATAGTTTCGACACAAACAAATCCTGAAGTTGAAAAATCTCGATTTTGAACACCCTATATATCTGTAATCGTTTCCGATAGTCCTCAAGTGAGATGTATCGATGCAGTCAGCTTTTTTGGAAGAATCTAAAAATGCAATAAAATACTGGGTATTCTATTCGAAATAACAGTGTTGTTGCTATTTTTTCATGGAAGGGGCAACACTGCATTGCTGAAAATATTTCAAATGAAGAGAGCGTATTCTGAAATATCAGCATGCATATTTTTATGGATTTCTCCCGACTGATTCTCGATATAGAAATTGTGTAAGCTCGTCGTGACATTGATTGATTGATTGATTGATTAATAGCAGAATGATCAGTCAGGGTTTGAAGCCCAAAACACTGCAGCCTTTGGGCCTATTGTATTCCTGATCATGTTGTTGACTTAGGTGAACAGGTTCGCTACCTTGATGAGGTTTAGCAGCCTCTTTACCAGATCATTCTTTGAAAATGCCTCTTGAGAGTTTACTGCTCCCAGAAGGTTGTATCTCCAACGCGCTAGTGCTTCGCACTCCAGTATTACATGGGTGGCAGTTTCCTCCTCCTCATTGCATAGTCTGCATATGGGTTCGTCTGTATAGATGCCCATTTGATGCATATGTTTCCTCAAGGGGCAGTGACCGGTTATTAGTCCCGTCACTTGTTTGATCTGACTTCTGTTTAGGCTCAGAATGTCGTTAGTCACTGTTTTGGACAGTGTTCCAACCATCAGTTTACTGTGTCTTTGTCCTGGGACATTGTTCCAGTATGCCTGATGTCTTTCTTGCATCCACCTTGCCAGCCAGCCGCGTATTGAGGTTTTGGGGATACCGAACACAGGTTCCGGCCCCATAAACAACGTCGCAGACCCTTGCCGGGCAAGAGCGTCAGCTGCTTCATTGCCTTCAATTCCCTTATGCCCTGGCACCCATTGAAGAGTTACCTTGTTGTGGTTAGCCAGGGTTAGCAGGCTTTGAAGGCAATCCCAGACCAATTTTGATCTGATTTTATTGCATGTTAGAGATTGAATGGCCGCCTGACTATCTGAGCATATGAGGATTTGTTTACCTCTGTATCCTCTTACGATATTCTCTCTCAGGCATGCCTCAATAGCATGCACCTCTGCCTGGAATACTGAAGCATACCTCCCCAAGGAAGCACACATCCTGGTTCTGGGTCTATCTCCATATATTCCGGCTCCCGTGCCCTCATCAGTCTTAGAACCGTCAGTGTACCATACTAACGTGCCTTCCTGACAGTTAGTCAAGACCCTTTCATCCCAGTAGAGCTGAGTGTTGGAGGGTCTGTGATAGTTATTTCTAGGCAGCATTTTGTCCCTTCCCATATCCATTAGTGGGCTTGAAACTTGGCTGATTATTTTTGTATGTCCCAGGGAGTCACCCCGAGCATACCAGTTGCCGGAACACTCCAGTCTGTATGCCCCCATCCTCGCTTCCGCCTTGATGCCGTCGTGACATACCCTGTATACTGTATGGTAGCTTCTCGCAAGGAACAAGAATCCGAGTTTTTGTAAAGAATCCTTCACGATATAGATCTGACGTGATATATTTCCGTGAAAAAGTTTTGCTAATGGAAATACCCAGCAGAGATATAGAGTAGACTTGGTGGGAATGGTGGTACCAGACATTATTATACAGGGTGTATCTTAATAACACCAAAAAATTCAAGTATTGTTTCCTTGTGATATTCTAGCAAATAGAGTTTATATAAACATGTGTCATAACTTGCTTCGTTTTGAGATACAGATACAGATATGTATAATTCAGTATGGATAGAGACTGAGAAAGCCCCAAAATTTCAAAATGATTCTAATTGGGGTCATTGAGTTATCTCAATGGAAGTCTTGAAAACACCTAACTATACATCAAAATTTGGAGTCGAATCGATTTTTTATTGTTTTCTCAGAAATTAAGCTAGATACAAAAATTACATATAGGATGAGAAAGTTGTTATTTCAATAGTTCAATCTAATAAAAATATGAAACTCAGAAAAACCGGTGGTGTACAATGACATTCACCATGAATATCGATGAATTTACCCACTGTGACGCCACTGGAAATATTATTTCGAATCTAATTGCACTAGAAGAAGCTTCATATTACTATTAACAAAACCACAAAGTTTTATTGAAATTGATGAAAAGGCAATTGAGTAATGATTAAAACAATAATTGTTCATGAAAATATTCTGTATCTCGAAAACGAACCAAGCACATATTCATATGAACTTTATTTCCTAAAATATTACAAGCAATCGCCTTTTGAATTCTTTCGGTGTTATTTAGATACACCCTGTATAGAATTGGAACAATGTTGGTTCCAAAAATGATCCTTGTAAAATTACGGAATTGATGGCTATGGTATCAGACGAGGTATCAGACGATACTCCGTCCATAAAAGAAGGCATAGCTGAGGTGGTAGCCCATATGATGCAAGTTTGTGAAGAAGATCTTAGTGCCAAGCACGCTAACGAAGCTTGCTTGAAGAATAGTTATTTATTATACAAGGGAAAAAAGTAGTAGATTTTAGCTCCAGGTAGTGTTGTCTCCCGACGCGTAGCGGAGGGAGACAAAAAACTGTGAGCTAAAATCTAATATTTTTCCCGTGTATAATTCACTATTTTTTTCTGTGACAAAAGAAAGGACGAATCAATATTGAGAAGATATTACATTTTTAACAGTGGGGACACCTGCGTTGTAGGCATCTTTATCATTCTATTGAAGTAATCAAATATCTGATGTCACTTCTATCAGTCTAATTCTGAGATTTGATTTCAAAAAATTTCGAATTTAGTGGTTGTTTAGTAATATCGTAACCGCGAATGGAAGATAAAAGGACTTGCAGTTCTTTCTCGGAGACGGTAATTGACTCATTTTTCGGAACTATAGCACAACAAAAGCCATCAACAGTGTATATATATGTGATATATATGTATCCGGGAAAAAAGTACTCACTTTCTTCCCACAGGAAAAAAGTAATTTATGAAAAGTGACATTTTATAACCTGCCAACAGAGATGAAACGCCAAACTTTTTTCCCGTCACAGAAAAAAAACGTTGAATTGTATGTAGATAACTGAGTTTTCCAATTTCATGTGCATTTTTATTTTGGGATCAGTTATACCTTCTCGCTATTTATTCGGCAACAGAGCTCAGTCACGAAGCGATGTTGCCACGTTTACATTACCATTGTTTACATCGCACGAAAGGAAAAGCCTATTATTAGTAGAAGATCCGAACCTAAATCGACATTCACCGAGCTGATAATAGAACGAAATATATTTTATCATGAATTTAGTATATTAGAAAACATATTAAAAATGGGTTCGCTAAAAAAATCCTGGGCAGACTATTTTTAATTATTTTTCGAAAAATGATTTTTAATTAAATGTTGCAACATCAGGATAATAAAAAAAATTTGTCCTGACTGAAAGTATAAAACGTATAGAATGTGCAGCCGTTGGGTTGTCTACTATTTACCTAGGCGAACTACTGGGTTGTCAGGTAAACACAGGTATATCGATGCCAGTTACTTTCACTGGATTGGATAATTAAAAAAAATGTATATCATCATAAGCGCTGTTTAATCGCGAACACGTTGATATAGGGTTGTCTGCGAAAATTCCGGTCCTATTAGGGGTTTGCGAATTTTAAATATTTTAATTTCAACGCGCGTGGAAGTGTGTGACAGAGAGATCCGAGGTAAGTATACTGTGTAATGTGTAATAATAAAGGACCCAACATCGCAGTCGCTTGTGATGGGACCCTGAATAGTAGAAAGTGCGCATGCTCGGTGTGTAAACTATGGAGGGTAGAGATACCTCTACTACCCTTCATATAGTAAACAGTTTTCGATGCAATATAATATTATAAGTCATTAAGCTACTCCGAAATAACACGCACTGTTTACTATATGAAGGATAGTAGAGCCAGTAGAGGTACCTCTACCCTCCATAGTTTACACACCGAGCATGCGCACTTTCTACTATTCAGGGTCCCATCACAAGCGACTGCGATGTTGGGTCCTTTATTATTACACAGTATACTTACCTCGGATCTCTCTGTCACACACTTCCACGCGCATTGAAATTAAAATCTTTAAAATTCGCAAACCCCTTAATAGGACCGGAATTTTCGCAAACAACCCTATATAAACGTGTTCGCAATTAAACAGCGCTTATGATGATATACATTTTTTTTAATTATCCAATCCAGTGAAATTAACTGGCATCGATATACCTGTGTTTACCTGACAACCCAGTAGTTCGCCCAGGTAAATAGTAGACAACCCAACGGCTGCACATTCTATACGTTTTATACTTTCAGTCAGGACAATTTTTTTTTATTATCCTGATGTTGCAACATTTAATTAAAAATCATTTTTCGAAAAATAATTAAAAATAGTCTGCCCAGGATTTCTTTAGCGAACCCATTTTTAATATGTTTTCTAATATACTAAATTCATGATAAAATATATTTCGTTCTATTATCAGCTCGGTGAAGGTCGATTTAGGTTCGGATCTTAGACTATATTTTTCGTGGAACATCGTGCGTACTGTTGGGAGGTATAGAATGGTGGTTTGGACGGTTTCAAATAAAAATTCGAATGAGCTTGGATTTGGGCGTGTTTATGTCTTTTCTGTGATTAAATTTAATTGCTTTCAGAGGACATTAGTTCCCCTTATTTATGAACGTAGTTTTGGGTCACACAATTTCGAAATGTAGGAACGGAAGTAGGTAATGAAATGTCTATAGCTGCTTCAACGCCCTGTTTTTATTTCAGTCTCTGAATTATAAATAGAATTTGGAAAGTGAAGATATCCAGATCCGTGAGAATTCTTTTCTTGATATACTGTGGGACCAGATGGCTTCTTATTATTGAACCCTATTATTTTCCCTCGTATCTTCCCTAATTTTGATTTTTATTGATCAACGTGCTGATGTGTATGAATTTTGAGAATCAATATCTGCTCCATATATATACAGTGCATCTAGCATAAATTGTCACATATTTGTTTCAGAATCTAGAGGAATATTATGCTTTATGAATATTCCACTTCAATGTTCTGATATGAAAGTATGAAACTCTTTTTGCTATTCGAAAAGGCCTATATATAGTTTTTATTTATGTACAAAGAATGAAATGTTTAAAAGTATAAAAATTATTTTGAAATATCCTCCTGAATAACTTTTTATTAAGTGTTGCCTCAAGTTATACAGGGTGATCCAGGTTGAACGTCATTAATTTTGATAGGCGATAGAACAACGGAAAAAAAGTTATCAACTTTAATGAATAATCTTAGGTTAGAAATGCTTCCCGGTGAAGATACAGTGTGTCAAAGTTTTTAGTTAAAGGCAAAAATTGGATTTTTCATAATAACTTTCAAACCACATCAAGATCATTTGAAGAAATGTTCCAGTGGCGTAGATATTGGGGATCGCCGTGCATCTCCTTGTGCCTCTCCTACTATTCAGTATCACTGGATATTTTACACAAAACATTCCATTTTGAGATTCCTCATTCAATATGGAGAATGAAAATATCTTTGCAAATTTTTGATTTATGGTTTTATTTTTGGGATACTTATTTGAATTCGAAGGGTTGCAAATAATCTTTTTACACCGGCGAGACAATAAGTTAGTTTCTCAACAAAAGAGGGTCAGAATTCTCGTATCATTCCCCAGGGCGATAAGGTGACATATTTTCTTTCTAGGAAGTTTTAACATTTTCCCGAGCATTTTCCGCATAGCTCTGCGCTTTCTTTTCGAAACACCCTTCTCTGAAGCGGGTATAAGCTGCATCATACAGTTTTCTGGATCTCACTGGTAGCAAGTTGAGAATCACTGCAAAAGCAGTATCAATAGTTTCTTGTGGATTTTCCTCGATTTCTTGTTCCATGACCGTTAACCATTTCCAAAGCTGTTTTCATAAATTTCACTTTGATATTTGCTGTCACCATGGGTTTTCAACAAGATGCATGTTGTCAAGATACGAATTCCACAAACTATACTACTACTAATTATGACAAAACACTTCGACCAAATTTGTATTCTTCCTTAATTTTTGTGTTTTCGCCAGCGTAAAAAATTGTTCATACACCTCAGGACATAATGCTATTTTTCCCTCAGTGCTCGCACCTTGGAAAAAGTCTTGCATTTCTGACCCCTGATGTATAATATACTATTATGAAGTACACATTACAATGTTGTTTTTGATGGTTCCAAACCTAAGGCGGCCCGTCGAGAAGTCAATCGAGGTGTCGAATTTAACCAGTTTCTTCATGATTGTCTGCTTCTGTCCCGTTGTTCTATTGCCTTTCATAATAACTGTTATATACCACAGTTTTCCAGGCTGAGGTCTTTGCCATTCTGGCAGTAGCGGAGAGGCAAGAGGTGAAAGAGGGACCAGAGCAGGAGATTTACATCTGCTCGGATAGTCAGGCGGCTCTCAGGGCTATCTGCCATCGAGTCTGTCATCCTAAACCAAGCTCAGCTTTGGTGCAGGAATGTGGCGATGCTCTTGAGAAACTAGCTGAACAGAAGGAAGTCGAACTAGTATGGGTCCGGGTCAGGTTAGGTTAGGTTATGTTAGGTTAGGTTAGGTTAGGAACTAGTATGGGTCCGGGTCACAGAGGGGTGCCCGGGAACGAGGTGGCCGACGAGCTGGCTAGAATCGGATCCGCGACACCGTTCTGGGGACCGGAGCCTGCACTGGGCATAACAAGAAGCCAAACTTCGTCTGCCCCTAACAAATGGGCGGACGAGGCACTAGAAGGATAGTGGAGGCGTATAGGAGGCTACAGGCAATCGAGAGACCTGGTGGCCGGTCCAAGCAAGCCAAAGACGGCTTGGTTACTGTGCAGGGATCGCCAAGTCCTGCGCCTTCTTATAGGGATAATGACAGGGCACAACAGGTTACGCAGACACCTATCACTCATAGGTGTGAAAAATAGTCTCACTTGCCGTGAATGCGGAGAAGATGAGGAGACATCACTTCACTTCCTCGGAGAGTGTGAGGTGTATGGAAGGATGAGATTCGAAATCTTTGGAGTAGATAAACTACAACAGGAAGATTTGGCCGAATTAGAGTGGACGGACATCCTGACCTTCATCAGAAGGACGGGAAGGTTCGAAAAGGACAACTGAAAGAGGGATGTGTAGATATGTGGAGAGCAGGGGTTGGCAAAAAGGACCCATGGGGGCCTACTTGCCTGGCTACAGCCTCCCCACAATACTACTACTACTACTTCATAATTACCGACGTTCAACCTGGACCACCCTGTATAGTAGGTGTTCGTTAGAAGTAGAAATTTTCAATTATTTGTTCTTCAAAATAGTTCATACCTTCTATGACTCAGTCTTTCTAAAATAGATATGAATAATAATGATGTAAACAAAATTAGTTATTCAGGGTTATCTAGCAATCGAACATGATGGTATAATTATGAAATATAGAATAGAATCGTCAATAGAAAACAATACATTTATAGAATACAAATCAACAGCTCAATTTTCCAAACTACGACGGAGTAAATTATGGAAAATTAGTCATCGATATCATAATTGTTAGGTGAACAAGAATAAATACCCGAGTAAATACCTATATGTTCACAATAACAAAATTATGAACCTAGTCAGGCCAGGTAGCCGTGCGGACAGAGTGTCCATATTCTAATCCGCATTCGCTTGCCGGTCGTGGGTTCGAGTCCCGTCGACTGCAGAAATTTTTCTGATGGCCCAAGAAAGTGTTTGGGATCACACGTTAAAAGGTAAGGCCCCCGTCATTCCTTGCTCGCACAAGACTCTCGAAGACTTCTGAGGGTTGCTCGTAAGGGGGCAACCGAATGACGGATAGAACAACAACAATTTTTAGATCCATTGCGAAACCTGCTCCACAAAAACGCTACATTTATTTCCAAGTTAAAACAACTTTACACCTCAACAGCTTCTTTCATTCAGGATACTGTTCCCGCACATATGAGGTTCAGCACTCAAACATTGCTGATGCTCTTAGATCCCATTGAGAGAAGAGCCATTCGCATGGTTTGTAACGCCACACTCACGAATTTTTTGCCAAGTTTGAAAGACCGCGGGAAAGTCGGGGACCTTTCATTTCTCCATATGAAGATACGGAAGTTTTTTTTTCGAAAATATCATCAATCCATCCCTAGCAATGCCAGTCAGACGTACTCGACAAGCCCTGTCAGCAAGCACATCCTTTCGTCGTCAAATTCGAGATATGTCGAACACCTCTTTACCAAAACTTATTCGTCTGTTGAACGGCAAAGCTTGGCATTCCAAGCTTTGCCGTTGATGTGATGGAGGAAGTATCCTTAAAAACTTATATAATTTGCAAAAGTTAAACAAAACCTTTACCTACCTCCTCTCCTCATCCTCCCTAGTTACGCACGATATGTTCGTCGAACATAATAGGGAATACCTTTTGTGCTCCAAGAAAAAAAGTGAACTACCCTGTATAATCATGGACCCTGTATTACCTCACATAATAATGTGTTTTTTATTCTTTAAGGTCCTCGCCATAGTCTGCCTTGGCCTCCATTACAAAAGCGTTACAAATGACTTAAACACTGACATAATATCAGCTGCAGCCTTTGGAGGTTATATCATCATTTTGATTGGAGGATTTTCAGGTAATGTTGGCAAGAATATGTTGTTAAAGTTGAAGTTTCAAAATCGATAACTTCTTTCTTTGTATAATAAACATCTCTATCTCCCAAGATTATTGCTATGCAATGAATAAATAGTAGTTTAGACACCTAAAAAAACACCTTCCATAGATGGCCAAACTGAAGAGAAGTAGAAAATAAAATAATAAATGTGGGTAGATAAATACAGAATATACTGATTACGGAGGTATCAATATTTTTTATATTGTGTATTTATCAGCACGCTTCCAATAATGATAACTATAATAATAAACTCACTCACTTCTCTGGAACACTGTAGAAAAGTTGACGACCTGGCTCTATTTTATAGATATTTTCATGGACGATGCTCTTCTGAAATATCAACAATTGTACCTCCCTTGGCAGTCCCCGCGAGATCAACCCGTCGAGTTGAGGCTTCGCACCCCTTCGTGGTCACTTTGGAGACCTGCAGAACATCTCTTTCCAAAGACTCGTTCATCCAACGAACAGCGAGGTTCTGGAACACATTGCCAAGGGAGGTGTCCCCCGAGGCATATAACCTCCAGAAATTTAAGAAGAACATCAATTTCTACCCTTTTTCCCTTGGTTCTCACGATGTTCTCTGAACATTACAGGATATCCCTTTCCGTGGGAACCAGAACATAAAAAAAAAGATTTTAGAGTTAGCGCTTTGCCTGCAAACACAGTTAGCAAGTGTACACTCTCTTACACTCGCCCTCTTATCAACCTTATTACGAGTATTGCGAGTACTTGGTGCAAGACTCTACTGTCTCTCGGGATGTAACTCTTTTCATATTATACGGAGTATACTCCCCACCAATCTTCTTAGATTCGCTTCATCAAATCATAGCGAAAGCAGAATAGGTCCGAATACAGATCCCTGGGGTACACCGATCGATCCGCCCATTTATGTCATATTTTCATTCATTTATTGAGTGACTGCACATCCCACTGGGCAAATTTGGAAGCTATGTTGAAGCAAGGTTGCATACGAATCATGTTTTTTGAGCTATATCATCAATTCAAGCATGCCATCACATTCTGCTGTTCTATAATGCACAAAAAATGCAGCAAGATAGGAAGGAATGAGATTTTTCAGGTGAATTAAGATCTTAAAAGTACTGTACTCTAGTTACTCACGCGTATATTGTTCATTTATAAAATCTTTTCTATTTAGAATGCTTCCTGTCACTTCTGCAATAGAAGCTGATATAGTGAAAATGTAACACATAGGACCATATTTCGTAAGCATTTCAGACCAGTCGTCGCGTCCACTTTGACTGCACGAATCCAATCTTCTTGCCTCATTTTAGGAACTTCACAAGTCTTTATATTAGCTCGTATTGCAGAAACAATTCTAAACAGGAATGACGAAATTTCAAAATTATTATTATTCACCTACCTTAAATTAAATCTTATTCCTTCGTCTCTCGCTGCATTTTTTATGCACTGTAGGACAGCGCAATGTGATGGCATGCTTGAATGAATAAATATCTCAAGAAACACAATCCACATGTCATAATTCTGGAAATCTATTACGATCCGTTGTAAACGAATAAGAAAAGTGAGGTTATCAGCGTTGTTTTACCTCTAGGGTCGGCACTCTGTCAAATATGCACGCGATTGATTGCAGTCTTCATTACTCATAAATACGATTTTTTATCAAATTTGATTCATTATGGTGAAGTCCAGTAATTGCTTTTCAATATAAACGTTCATACACGTGTCATTAACAGTCATGACGTTTGAGTCGTAAGAAAATTTGGCCAACATTCATCTTTTACGACTTAAAACTCATGACTAATTTGCTCTACGCATGAGTCGTGCGCTATCATTTGTAATCTTGGTTTTGTTCACATTTGTTTCAATGAAATCAAATCCAAAACACAAATTTGTAACTGCTGAATGATAATCACTTCTGTGTCACAAAGCAAGTTGGATAGAATAATATGGTGTAATCACAGACAGTGTTTTGTTTCTCCCAAAACGCTTGACCGCAGTTTCCGCAATAATGGCATATTAGTTCTCAGTTGTCCGCAAGATGGCGACACTCTTCACACATTTCTTTCATGACAGAAAAGGGCCCTTACACACTGCTTGCACCAGAAATAATGATATCATAACATTCATAACATCACCTCGAATCAAATGAGATTGAATTTGAGAGTACAACCTTGAATTTTGGTTGAGATTTCGCCATCTAACGGGTAAAATGCGACTTGTATTCCGCGATATTGAAAAGAATCCTTTTGTCAAATTGGCCGTATAGGTCAAGAACTTTGACCGAAAAACAGTACATGGGATTTGAGAGGAGTTTCTACATCATCTTGTGCTTTTCTCGTTACGACTTCAAACTTACGACTAAGAACTTAAGACTCAAAAATCCACCATTATGCCACTTAACAAAATAACTTCCAGTGTCACCCACGTCCCCTTCATCATTATCAATTATAAATTCTCAATTTATTTTTTTCAGGTCATTTGATGACTACTCCCTTCAACAGGAGGATCGACATTTTCTTCTGCTTGGCAGGATGTGCCTTGTTCGTGGCTGCAGGAGCAATGAACATTAAAATCTACCAGGACTACGGCAAATCAGAATGGAGGGACTATGGCTTAGCCAAGGGATCATTGGCCATCATCAACGGAGCTCTGTTTTTGCTGGATTCCTTGTTGTCATGGAGAGGAGATTTCTAAATTAATGCGCTTCATCTCCCCGTTATTTCTCTCTAGAGCAAGTTATACAGGGTGTTTCCGAAATTGGGGCAATAAATGGAATAGATGATAGAAGACGGAGAAAGACAACGAAATGAAAGAATACATTTTTGTCGAAAAAACAATATTTTGGAAGATATTGAGCTTCAAAGTTTTTCTGAAACTCTTGGGACTCATTGATCAGAGGTGAATAGCCGAACCCAAGCGTTTGCTTTCGGCAAGAGCACAAGCACTAGAAGAATCAATGACTTTTGCACATTTTTTGTAACATTTTCAAAATTTCTTCTTAGTGATACAGTGTCATTATGTCTCGTATTTAATTTTTTGCCCCAATTGCGGAAACACCCTGTATGATAAGTTGCTGTTGAATCCTTGAGTTACCTCACAACGGTTACCGGTTACCGTAAAGGGTTATTTACCCCTCGATTTACCCTAAGTGCGGGTATTTTCGATTTTATAGGTCCATGTAATTGTGATGTCAGCAGATGTCAATTGGTTATCAACATTGTGTTAAGGTGGATTCATGCAGTACAAATTTACACTAACTATAACCTCCATTTACACTTGAACTCGAACTGAAAAGTTAGACCTCCTGTTAGACATAGATAATTTTATGAAGACAAATTGAAACTGAACTTGCACTATCAAGTTGGCCATCTCTCAACTTTCTGGTGTAAATGTTGATTTTTGAGACTACTGGGCAACTCTAACATCGAAATATATAACCTCCAAACTATGTTAATTTTGCTCCATGAATTACCACCGAAATAAAAGATCAACTTGTGCTGCAAAATTCACCTTTATACAGTGTGTCTGCTCGAGTTTTCACCATGTCGACAACTTTTTCATTGTTAATTTTACGAAAAAAGGTAATTCTCTATGAAAAATTCGGCGAGACACGCTGTATAAGTTATTCTTTCGTATGATTTTAACCAATTAGAACGTCCAATTGAGCTAAGCTACCTTGGATAATTTCAAATATATACGTGGATATACATAGAGTAACTCCGCCAATCATTGAAATTATTTCCATAGCAGTATCCAATTCATATTATTTCAACTGTCGAACTGGCACTATTTGTAATTATGCAACAAGCTATCGATATATAACCCGAATATTTTGAAGTATTACTGTACATATCGTGAATTAATCAATTTCCTCAGAATGAGAGCTAATGTTTTCAGTATCACCAGTTGGCGGTACTAGAACCTGAGGTTGATGTCAAAGTCAAAAATCCCGAAACTTCGTCGGGTAGCTCTGAAGATGAAGGCTTGATTTTTCGAAAAACTCATGGAAAATGATGAAATCGTGATATATTTTATGGTTAGACTCTACTTTGAGATTTCACTTTCAAAAAAACACTTTCCTTCTCAAACAAGATACTTTAATCCAGAAAAGACAAATTATTACCTGAAATTGCATATACAACTACTGATAAACTACTGCCATGCTACTGCTAGACTTATTCTAACTACTTTTATCGTGAGAAAATTGAAATTGTAAGAAGAAGAAAGGAATATGATCAACATGATTCTGCTTCACATCATATGAAACTTCTGGTAATCTGATATTTACTGAGTGTGCTCATTTTACCATATATAACAGACTTGATCAGTGTTGCAGAGAAGAAGATATCGTAGAAAATGGTCAAATGAAACGGCCTACTTCGACCTCATTACCCTCATGTCTCAGTAGCGTGATCTGGTGGACAATAAGAATATTTCAGCCTTCATTATAAAACAGAAATAAATCCGAAAAATCACAATCTCACTATAATATGGATATAATGCTACCCAGTGAGTTGACATTTCAATTTTGGTGTTAACTTTCACCCATACACACCTCCGTAGATTAGTTAAGTACATCACAGTTAACTGCAATCCTAAGATTATCAAAACCGTTGTTTACCTAAGCTGCAACCTATAAAATTCGCTTGCGAGGACCCAGAAAATCTTTCTAATCAATCCTGATAAAGTTAGTTCATTGACTAGGAATTTGAAATACATACATTCAACAAATTGATGGTGACCTCATTTAGCTGTAGTTGTAACTATGACCACTTTAAAGGCGAGTTCGGAAATACGGAGTGGAGTCAGAGTAGGGTTAGAGTACCATTTGCATGGATTCAGACCACGTGATTTGAAGAGTCGAGAGATCAGGTCGGGGTACTTGAAGCAAATCCGAACGCTTTCGCTCTTCCCTTTGCTCCATGACACTGACAGCTCCTAACCTAACCTTACCAACACATTTATTGTGGTCTCAAATACATTCATCAATTTGTTCCCTATCAATATTTTATTTTCATTAGTCGCGTTAGGCGTAAGAGATCATTCGGATCAAACCCATGTCGCGTACCTTCAGTGCTCCTGCCGCAGCCACATTAGATTTGATGGTTTTTATGTTTGTGAAATCCTCGCTCTTGCAGAATGTACAATAATATGGATATAAGGAATAATAAAATGCGAGCGATCGGTTGTGTAGTAAGATTTGCTTTCTACTTCTTTTGTGATAATGATGATCATGAACAACCCAAAGACGATATTGCTTATCTTGAACGCGAAATTGGACGTATGACTTCGGATCAATTCAAAATCCATTTTCGAACTTTCGAACATTTATTGGAAAGACTACATGAGTTTCATGTTACACCTAAGGGTCATCCAGAAATTACTGTTGAAAAAAGTGCTTTAGTTACCATATGAACACAATTTTCAACTCGATTAACTATGAATGAAATTCGAATTTGAAAAAAAGGCGGAAGGCCAGACAGGATGAGCGTCAAAATTGGCGACGTCTGACGTTTATTTTGACGTAAAAAAGGAGGAACTCTCGAAACTCCTGATTTATGAAAGAGTCATCAGAGAGTTCTATTTGCCCAGTTTTTAGATTCCGAACGATCGAAAATCGACTCTACATGAACACAGAGTGAACTGTTTTGTCAATACCGAACTCGCCTTTTATGTGCTCATATTGCAAAAAGTTGTTTCAAATACATCATGGGTGGTTTAGCCCTTTTGCAGGTGACAACTTTGTAGATGTATTTCAAAAGTTCAAAGCTAGTCTCAAATTAAACTCGTTTATTAATTTCTTTCTATCCAAGTGAGAATGGGTGCATATATAATATAGTCGAAAGTAAATTACTCATTCCAAAGAATTTGTTCAAATCGTATTATTTTATTCAAATGACCAACGCATTTGATTCATATGTGATTTCACAGACTTGTGAATTCACTTTCCATGTTATTTATACTTACTGAAACAAATCCTATTGACCTAGCCTTATATAGACCGATTAAACTGATGTTTTTATATTCAAACGAATTTATTTTTAGATGATACGAAAATTTACAATAATATTTTGTAACAAATATTTATATTGACTACAATATGAGAGTACCTATATCTATTTTGAAATATTTATATGTATATGCATCGTTGAAATTAATGTTCCATTTATGGAAATATTCTGATAAGCTAATTTATTTTTATATTCTTATATAGTTTTCCATAAGCTTCTCTCTGTTTTGATAAGTTGATTTGTTGTTCAATTTTTTATTGTCTATTAAAAATAAAGTATCCTAATAATAATAATAATTTTGTTTCAGTATTCCTATTTTTCTTCAGTCCTGGAGGGACTACCGATCAATTTACACACATCAAACTTTTTTTGATCAAAATGACCAAATATATATATAGGGTATCCTCACCGAAGAACCACTCACGAGATCTGACTGAAATAAGTGAATCATTCGCATTTGGAACCTGTTATACAGGGTGTTCCGGTTTGTAATACAAAAAATTCAACAGTATGTTGTACTCGTTGAAATAATAAAAAAAAATTATATATTCATATACTTTCGAACGCGTGTTTTTCGAGATATATGGTGTTGAAAATACGAGTCTGAATATTGTTTTTTGATGAAAAGCTCAAAGCCATTTCCACACAATGCTCATAAAATGAACAACAATGGTAGATTTCGGGAGGAAAACAACTACTTTTCAGTCTAATTCCATGCAGAACATTGAATTACATCCTCCCAAAATCTATACATCGACTCGTATAAACGAATGCTGATACAAGTGATTATTTCCTGAATGCCTATTGATTTCGATTTAGCCAGGCTACGCTAGGCACCTACAGACCGATTTCGAGCTCTTTGACTCTCATCAGTGCAGGGAAGTCTCCAGCCAGCAGTCCTAAGACCGCCGACTAAGCGTAGCCTAGCCAAACAAAAATCAAGTCGGCATTATATTCCCTCAGAGGCAGACAATATGAGAGCAATGCCATCTGAGTAGAAAAGAATGAGAGAAACACTTCACAACCAAAATTGAGCATTGTGGCAATTTCGTATCGAAATTACGCCAGTCGGGCAACCCGTATGGGAATTTTAATGAAGTTCTCCACATTTTTTAATTTTTTTTTCCATTTCTTGAAGCGCATTATAAAGAGAATCCTTTCAATTTGATGTATTGGATTCCTCAATTTTCTTTGGCATAAATTCCAAAGCTTTGTACAGTGTTTCGAACGTCTTCAGAAATTACATCTTCAGGACTTCCCAAATAAGTACTCGAATACGGAAACGAGTTGGTTTATTATTAACTTTCAGAGGTAAAAATACAATTTTTGTTGATAGGAAGTCAAATATGCTTTGTACTGAAACTACATAAAGAGACTTATGTATGATATCATCTAGTATTACACAGGGTGTTAATTAAGTATGCAGCAAAACTTCAAGCGGTTAATTTTCAGAGTACGTAAGTTCAAAACAAAAATATCATAACTGAAAAAAATAAGTATTGGAGTTCATCATACTAAATTAACATTCTGTATATACAGAGTGTCCCTGAAAGGTCTGTACAACATCTCAGCACATAATCCTGAGGTCGAAATAGGCCGATTTGGAGCTCACCTTACCTCAGTCCGAAATTGCTCCGATACGGAGTGGTAAATTTTTAAAATCAAAATCGTCAGGTGCACTTCAAGAAAGTATTTTGCATCCATTTTCAGACTGCTCATTCACTGACCAAATTTCATCCATGAAGATAACAGCAAACATTTTTTATTCAACATAATTCAGAAATTTCGGTGCGGTATCAAAACACAAAAATCGAAATATCTCGAAAACGACTTGAATTAGCGAATGTTCACAGGTCTCTTTTGCTTGACAATATTAAGATTTCCTCAACAGGAAAGCTAGAAAACTACACTGAGAAAAAAGTTATGGTCATTCCAAACCATTAGAGGTGCATTTGTAAGCGCCCGGTAAAACTGTGTCCGTATTCGGGTTTCGCATCCCAAAATTTTTATTTTTCAACTTCACACTCTGTATTTATAGCGATTTCGGACCGAGGAAAGTTACTTTAAATTGGCTCATTTCGACCTCAGGAGATTTTGTAGAGACCTTTTATGGACACCCTGTATATGGATAAGATCGATATACAAAACTACTATCAAAAATTGAAGAACATTGATCTCAGTACATGTCATTACCATCAGCATACCTAGTTCTAGTCACATCAGAATATATCCTATCAGGATTTTTCTTCACATCCCTTATATTCAAATCCGTCGTCACTTTAACCGGATACTCAGGCTTCTTCACTCTCTTCTCCTCATAACCAGGCTTCTTGTAAAACTCTTTACGACCTCTATAGTACGAGGGATCAGGAGAGAACCTCCTATCGTCATAATATCTATCTCTGTAATCGTAATCATCGTATCTATCTCGGTAATCAGCCTGAGGAACAGACCTAGGGATTTCTGGTAGGGTCGCATAGTATATGATCCTTCTTCGCTTGTTAGCACCAAGATAGGAGCGATCACTTCTTTCGTAGGGGTCGTAGGGTCGTTGATAAGGGTAGGGGTAGGGATCTCTGAAATCTCTGGAATCTTGGCTGTAACGGTTGCCCCTAGAATTGCATACGTTTCGAAATAAAATTATTTTGGCATTGATGCAAACATCAAACATTTTATGGGTGGGGCAGTGAATCTGTGAGAACACCGATACAAATTCAGAATGATTTTGAGTAAACCGAACATCTTCATCTTGAACTAATCAGACTCACGATGCCAGTAGTGATCGTTAACAAACTATCCAGACATGTTCAAGCATATATTGGTTCAACCTACTCAAGAAAGGTTTTACTCCTCATTTCTTTGCTCTGCTTCAATTCAATAGATCCTAGCTCCTGCTTCTGAATAATATATATGAAGCTATTCAAAAAATGAGGGACCTGAGAATGTTAGATATCTTGATTCCCTACTATAGCCATATCGTTGCCTACAGAGGAAACGGTAAATCAGAGAAGCTTCAGAGCTTTTGGCCAGAAGACCAATCAATTGAAACTCTAATGCAGATGTTTCTAAATGATCACATCAGAACCTCTAGGTTTGTTTCAGCAGAAACTAGTCCTTGTTTCTTGATCTACATGCAAAGTTGTACTAGAATAATGGGTATAGGTACTATAAAAAGCTGTCGTTAGGCTTACGAAGGAGTATGATTTTGCAGCTATTGATGCAAATGTTCTCCTCGAATTCAAGGAGAAGGAAAATTATTTTGATTCAACCACCTCAACTTCAACTAACCCAAGAGAAACAATAAACAATATTTTTCCCCCACAATGTTTCGATGACACATTCGCGCTGTCCACTTTTTTCGACATGGATTCGATGGTGGGAGAACCTTCGTTCGAACTTTCCTTGGAATACAACCTGATATTTTTTTCGAAACTTGACAGTCTGATGGTTTGGTGGCGGATCGAACGATGACACGTCTTGTAGTACTGACATCTCAAATATATCATGCAGAATGGTATGAAGGATGGTCTCAGTGGAAGAATTCATTCCATCAGAAAATTTGCTACCATTTCTTGTAATTATTTCAACTCTAGTGAACCTTTCGATTTTTTCTTGATTTTTCAGAGCAGTACTCTCATCTTCAACTCCATTACTGTCCTCAGATTTCACGTACATAGTTGATTCTATCATTCGCATTCGAGGTTCTTTTCGAAGAAATCAACTCACTATTTCCATCGTTTTTATTCGAAAGCACTCCATCTATAAATTCCACCTCATTTTGATTAGTGCTTCAGTCTTTAGAAAAAACATGTTTCCTGATATTAAGTCTGATGTCTGTTTCAATTCCAGAGATCTTTCTACTCCTATCGAAGCTCTCCTCTAGGAATGATACAACAAAGGAACTGAAGCAAGAAGGTAGGTACACACATATCGTAGTGCAAACCATGGTTCAACGAAGTTCATCAGCTGAGGTCCTTTGCCTGAAGATTCAACCATTGAAAAGATGGGGTAGGTAGTTTGGTATTTTGGATCCATAAAACAACAAAGGAATTGAAGAGAGATTTAAGAAGTAATTCCTGAGATATCATTTTGAGGAAAAGAAGACCCTATTTTGGTCTGTAGCTCAATCTGCATGGGTTAAATTGTCCCCGTTTCCATCAGTGGCAAAAAAGGATGGTTCCATATTTGGTATTGATGCAAAAGAAATTACTGATATATTTCGCAATTATGTGATTTTGACTCAGGGGAAGATCTTCTCCAATTCAATCACCTAACCAAGCAATCAAATCCTGTAAAATTTCTCTACACCTATCTTGAACATATTCCAGAAGTGATACAACATGTACTGGACATTTTCTTCAACGACTAGACAAAGTATCTCTCTTAACACAGGCCACATGATTC